AAAAAATAAAAAAATAATCTTAATTTGGAATTGTAATCTCTAAAATTCTGGCTGCTTGTAATTACCATTTAGTTTTTTCTTGAGTCTATAATGTGCCATTTATTATGAGCTTCGGATTAAGTCAAATATTGATAGGATGATTCTCGATTCTTCAAGTACACATTTGGTTCAAATACATTATTGATCTCGAAACTTATTTTCACTTTAGTTCCTCAAAATTTCAACTTCATTAAAAGGTTCTCGAATCAAAATTATTAGAATCTAGTTATGTTTTCCATTGTTAAACAATCATAACTCGTCACTTTATCATTTAAAAATATATATTTCTCATTATTTTGCAATCTAGTATCTAAATGTTGTACTTTTGGTAACTGAAAATCAATCTTCTTCATATGAGTCATACTTATAATATTCTCAAGATTTCAAATCATGGTCCTTAAAACTTTCTTATGATTTCTAAATTGCACCTTACTCGAGTTTTCCCAATTAATAATTTTGGAAATTATTATTTACACCCTAATAATATTTATTCCATCAACAAGATAATTCTGCTAAATATTTTATTATCTCAGTCTCTCAAGTTATAGAGATAATTTTTTTGTTACTTTATCTTTTGAATTGTACAAAGTCTTTGTTTAAAATATAAATATATCATTAATTTAATTATTAATTATTTTAACGCTTGTAAAATATTTTACATTTAAAGGTCTTATAATAATGAGTCGTCTAGGGTTTCAAAATTTTTAGGACCTTGTATCCTACAACTAGGGATGACAATTCGGCTCGTCGGCTCGGGCCGCCAGTAGCTCAGCTCGAGAAAAACCCGAGCCAACCCGTCTCAAGATTGGGCTGAGCCTCATTTTGGGAGGACGGACAGAGCCCAAGCGGGTCCACGAGCCTGAGAAGGAGGGGGTCCGACAGCTCGACTCGTTGACATCCCTACCTACAATAGAACACCTTGTTAGTGTGTAAAGGCAGCCTCTCCAAAAGGTGGGGTTACGGGTTGCAAATATGAAATTGACAGGAAATGGTGACAAACAACACTTGGCATTCATTCTTTGGAAGATGAATTTAAAAAAAAAAAAAAAAAAGGCGAATCACAGTTCGTTACGTCATCTCTGTCAATATTTCCTGTCAAAATTCATGGGCAAGGTAACAGCCACATTTCACTAATTTGTCAACAAGATAACAACATTCAATAGCTTGTCGACAAGGCAACAAATAATGAGATGAGGACATTAACTTACTATGAAAGCAATATCTAGCTTCTACTGTGCACGTCTGCACCTTCTAAAATGAAATGGAAGCCAAGTAGCGCACACACTATTATTGCAAAATCAAGTTGCAATTAGAATAAATAAAAACAAAACGATAGTATATTTCTGCAAGGGCTAGCACGAGATGTAGCCCAGGCCAAACCTGTGCTTAGATCCACCTCTGAGTACTACTCCTTTAGCTTTGGGACAACGATAGTGTATAGAAAATTATATTTTTCTAAGTCTCTTAGGTAGTTAGGCTCACGAAATATTACCCCACTATGTTGAGAGACAAGGCAAACTTTTCTTCTCACGCTCAGATTATACGTTAATTGGGATGTGAACCGACTGAAAGAAAGTTGATGAACGCGTATATATATATATATATATATATATATATATATAAACTGTTACCTAAAATTATAGATTCGATGTGGTTTATAATTTTTAAAGAATAGGGTGATTTAGGGTTGGATATTAAACTTAAATTTCTAAAGTCTTTTTTAATTGAATCTGACTTTTTTTGAAATTTTAGTTAATTTTTATTGACTTTTATAATTTTTTACAAAATCAATAAATGTTAATGTTCAAGCTATCTGTAATGAATGATTTATTTATTTATTTATTTTTTATAAACTTATATAACGATAATTTAATGGCAAGCTAAAGCAAAATGTTTCAATCATTGCTTATGAAAACTCATTATGTAACCACTCATCAATTGGCACATTTTTCATAATATCGATTTCGCCCAATAGTCTTTTAAGCTGGCAAAAGAAATCGAAAACATAAATATGACAATGAATAAAGATTGAAAACGTACAATTAATAACTAAAATATAATGCATCAAATAAAAAATCGTGATGCGAATATTATTAACTTTTTCAAATTTATATTCATTCTTCTTTACCCTTTCTAAGACTATCTCCAATCAAAACACAACAAAATCCAAGCCAATTATATTATATAATCTTCACAAATAAGCTTCGTCATAAAGCATAATGAGGCAACACATAAGCCAAGAAATGTGTACCCTCTTGTTTTATTAATTTAATCAAAGATAACACTATATGATATTGTTTAATCCATAAATAATTAAATAATTATAATCAACTACTCTCCAATTACCAACTTTAATCCACTTCTATTTGAACCACAAACATAATCTATTTAATTGCCAACCCTAATCTCCAGTATAAAATTAGTATGTCACCTTCAAACTTTAATTTTGCACATTATTTTATGATTATTTTTAATTAATTCATGATTAGCTTTTAACAATACTTGGCCACAGTTAATCTGATAGATTATATTGTAATCTTCTTCAACGTTGACCTAATAATCATTGGACCAAAATCTAATTTTCTAAAATGTCCCTTTCTCATTATTTGTTAAGATAAACTTGAATTCTTGAAGGACTTAAAATGAAATTTAGAGGAAATTTTTATCAGATCAACTTACTCTTAAAACAAAAAGTAATTTTCCTGAAAGTTATTCAAACAAATTCAAAAACAACTTTGTAGTTTCAAATACATCTTTTGATTTTTTTCAAAAGCCTTGTAAAATGAGCTTTAAGATTGTCGCTTCAAAAATCTCTTCTACAAAAGTTAAAGTCTTGTCAAACGAATCCTTCAATATTTATTTCAATTGTGCTCCCTGCACAAACCTTATGAACAGGTTCACACACATGGGAGTAGACCCCACACATGAGGGTAGACCCCACACAAAGGGTTCACGTGTGGAATCCACCTTCATGTGAGAGCCCCTCTGCAAAAAAGCCTGTGTGCAGGGAGCTTTATTCTATTTATTTACATGATTTATTAATTTAAAAATAATTTAAAGTTAGCCCATATCTTAGCCCCATTTTTTAAAGTTCATTTTTCGTTAAACTCACGTTGGGCTTATAATTTTTATTGAATTTAACTATATATTTCAGAAATTTTATCAAAATTAATTTTTAAAAAAATGAAATAGAAACTTTTATATATATATATATATGAATTCATCATAAACAAGTCTAAAACAAGCCAATCAACTATAGCCAAGCCGAAGTCAAGGTCGGCCGGCGCTTTGCTTCATTATACCGCTCATTATGAAAAATATTAAGCCTGACGTAAGCATCATGCATTATAGAATGCTTGTATATATAGACCGCGGCTTGATGCTAAAGAGAGAGGAATGGATTGTAAGGAACCAAAAGCATCTGGGTCTTCGTATTTCTGTTTGAGTCGCCGCGACTTTGCCGGGAAGTGGAATATTCCGGCTGATTTCGGTGTTTCTTAATATACTCATCACTCATCTGTCTTGTTCGATAATAGAAGCAAAACCAGGTATTCCTTTCTTTGTAATAGTTATTATATTTGATGAAGCTTTTGGGTTTATGTGATAGATAAATATATTGGTTCTGAGTTATGATATCTGCTTCGATGTTTATTGGCACCATCTTCATTTAGTTTATGAGAAAATGTAAAAATTAAACAAAAAGTTAACATCTTTCTAGAGCCAGCTACGTTTTATGGATCGAAGTGCCATTCTTAAATTTATTGGGAATAAGGCTTAGTTTGGTGGTAGCGAATAGATTGAAATTGCAATACTTAGATACCTTTCCTAAGAAATTATTGATTGCAAATTCTTCTTTTTAATTTGATTACTGGCACACAGATTGCAGAATTAATTATACTGCTGAACCGATGGTGCAGCTATCTAGTCTTTTGACGTCTTTGTCAAAGAATGTTTTGATAAGTAGTAGGAAGAAGAGGAGACCAGATGTTGGAAAACAAACCGCCGATGAATTGGTGAAGGAAGCAAAGAGGAAAGAACTGGTGCGAACTTCTTCTGGTGTTGTTAATGGCTACAAATATAATAATTTTACTTCAGTTTACTCGAAAAGAGGGAAGAAAGGAATTAATCAGGATCGCTTCATTGTGTGGGAGGTACGAAAATCACATTGCAGACAGATACTATTAATCAAAATTACCTAAGTTTAGCTGTTGCTTGATATTGTGATTTCTAATCTTAGGAGTTTGGATGCCAAGAGGATATGACCTTTTGTGGAGTTTTTGATGGGCATGGTCCATGGGGACATCTTGTGGCAAAAACGGTGAGGGAATTGATGCCGTCGTCTTTACTACGAAATTGGCAAGAAGCTGTTGCTCTAAATGTACTCAATTCGGGTGGTAACTTGGGATCGCACACGAACCATTGCCTGTTTGATATATGGAAGCAATCTTACTTCAAGACTTGTTCTGCTGTTGATCAAGAACTTCAGCGCTGCACGGGAATTGACTCTTTTTACAGTGGTACTACAGCTTTGACTGTTGTTAGACAGGTAATGGAATCTCATTGCATTATATTGTTACGAAATACGGGAATAGGCAATATATAAAATACAATAATGTTTGATGTATAAAATTAAAACAAAAACATAAGATTTTCGTGAAAACTCAAGACGGGAAAATTATAGGAAGAGAAAATTCACTATATCGAAGATACGGCTACTAGGAATATATAATATAATAAACCCCTCACACATAATGGAGTTCTAATAAAACAGGTCACTGTGGCCCGGGGGGGGGGGGGGGGGGT